CCTCTGTAGTCTGTTCTTGGAAAGCATAAAGAATACCATCAATCAGCTGTTCTTCAAGTTTATGATCAATATCTGCTGCTCCCAAGTTGCCCATAGTTTTCTCAATTGTTTCCATCACCATTTTTCTGTACTGTTCAGCTTCGTCTTTCAGATCATCCACAATCCTGGATATAATTTCTGCTGCACCTACTTTGTTTGCCAACTCCACAGTAGTATCAACTAACTAAAAAGAGAGCAAAAAATACACTGAATTTATTGCTCTTCCAAGGAAACAGACATCATGAAAACCGTATTCTCAAAATACTATTCAGCCAGTAAGCATGCCGAGAACTAAACCCCTAATTTTTAAAACTTCTAAGAGAAAAGTGACCAAAAAAAATTTAAATGAGTCTAAATCAAGGTAATTTAAGGTAAGATTATATTCATGTTTCATTCAAGCATTTCATTTCTTAAACAAAGACATAAATTCATATTTTGGTTATGTATTCTAGAATCAAAATCAAAATGGGAAGTTAACTGACTAAAATCCATCTCCTTTCACAATCAAGCACATACAATCGATGACGTAATCAGGGCAAAAAAAAAAAGTAACATGCATTCAAATTGACTAAAGAATTAATTGAAAGGATTTTTTCAAATGTTTTTTTACAATAACAGTTTACCTGTCGGTAATTTCTTCTATCCAAAGCCATTCGGTGTTGCCAGAAGTGTTTAAAAAAGGGAGGAAGAATCTCTGTTTTAATGTAGTTTGCTTCTACACCATCTGTTCCACAACACTGCTTTACCACCTAAACAGTTAAAAAATAGCAATAGTAAACACAGTAATGTCTTAATATACAACAGTTGTTTTGTTTTGTTTTTCAATGCTTTAAAATTCTTTTTGAACCATGAAATACACCCAATTTACATGAACAAGTCTGGAACAACAATTTGCAAAAATTACCTTCAGCACAATTTTCTTCATTTCTTCATCAGGAGATTGGAATTCTCGAATAAGGATTAACATCACTTCTCTAGTATAGTAGTTGGCATATTCTGCATCCATGAGAGGAATAAGATACCCAATAGCCTTTAAGAAGGCGGCCAGACCCTATTTTAAAGTAAAAGCATATATACTTAGTAAATTAGATTAAATAGCCTTAGCTTCAATGAATAAGAAAAAAAACCTAATTGATGGATCTACCTTTCCTCTGTGTTGGCGAATACCCTTCCATAGAGGCTTTAACACAGAATCAAAAGATTCAATACCGTAAGGAGTTGCTGCTTCAGCCAAGGCAGCAATGGCCAAAGCACTAATGGTCCGAACTTTCTGCTGCTCATCCACAAGACCTATAAAACCAAACGCAGGTTTTAACTAAGCAATAATATTACCTAATTTCCACACCATCTCCACAGTCTAGCAATATAATCTAACTGCAGAATCTGTTCACATTAGACAAAATTAGGCAAAAGCCAGTGTGAACCACAGCCTATTAGCAGGTATTACCAATCCCATCATAAACTATATGGTATTTAGGTAGTTAAAGCCCTTCTATTTATCTCTCCAAATCAAAAGCCCTAACTTCAAGATACCTGTCTTATAAAAGATGTTCAAAGTTATATAACCACTTACCATGTTCAATGATTTCAACTAAACTTCTCAGATGTGGCAAGATGGCACAGCCCATAAGAATAGCTATCTGCTGTACAATCTTAATACCAGTATGTCTCGCTTGCCAGGACTTCTTGCTTTTGCACACAGCTTTTAAGAAGGGCAATAATGACGGAATGCCAAGGGCAGAGGCTACAACAGCAAAAGCTCTAGCTGTTGTGTTACGGACATACTCATCCATGTTATCTATATCAGGTCTCATAGTAGAGATCATAGTAGCCAGACCAGCAGCCTAAAAGGTCAAGAAAAAAAGGTACTCATGAGTTGATAACATTAACCCTCAACCATTTCCTTCTATAATCAAATAATCCCATCATCAGATAGAAAACCTTCTTCTTTAGAAATATAATGTAAATACCTTTGCCAAATTAGAAATAATCTCTCGGCCTTCCACTCTAGCATAGTAATCTTCATCAATCAGTAATGGTTCAATGACCACAAGGATCTGAAAAAGAGGAGTGTCATGTAACACCAATTACTGATGCCATCCTCATGTAACAAAATTATATACATACAGGAAAAAAACTTTATTATAGCATGTCATTTCAAGTATAAGAAAATCATTTTGCTAGGAAATTCATAATTACCAAAACTTTGTTAATCAAGGAACAAATTAAGAATTTTAATTGCAGAATTTCAACTCCATATAAAAATGAAAACTTGGGAGAACTGTTAACCATGCAGACTAACAGTTAATATTTAATAATAGTTAACAGTTAATATTTTTTAAAAAGAACATACATCTACGCTTTACAATTCTACGCCATAATTACCACCAGCAAAAAAATGGTTCTTAAAACTAAAAGGCATGCTATAGAAACATACGTTTTTCTCATCCTATTCTAATACCAATAAAAGAAAATGAGGGGCGGCCGGTTAGCTCAGTTGGTTAGAGCGCAGTGCTGATAACACCAAGGTTGCCAGTTCGATCCCCGCATGGGCCACTGAGCTGCACCCTCCACAACTAGATTGAAACAACTACTTCACTTGGAGCTGATGGGTCCTGGAAAAACAAACTGTTCCCCAATAAAAAAATAATAAAATAATAAAAAATAAATAAAAGCAAATGAAAAAAGATGACTATTAATCCATCATAGCAAAGATGGCAAGAAGTTACATCTATACACACACATATTTGTGTAGGTGTGATGTATGTTTGTGTAAAGAAGGGAAGACATGTAAATTTAACATTGATAATTCTAAGCGTCTTGCAAGGGGGTAAAATTTCCCTTTTATTGTGAATGTATAGCATCAGTTATTACATTTTTAGAATTTTTAAATGTCACAAATACGTATCAGTTGGTTAAAAAAAAAAAATCCGTAAAATTCTTTTATATGAAAAATTCCCAAACGATTAGAAACACTACTTGAGAACCAACCTTGTGCACATATGGTCGAACTAAGTCATCAAGTTTGTATAATATTCTATCAATAACTTTGACAAGTAAATGACGCTCTTGATCCTCAAGTGTAGGAGACATCAGGAGAGGAAGAATCTGATTAAACAAAGGACCAGCTCCAAACTCACGAGCTTTATCGGTAATCTGACGCAATGCAGCCTGGAGGGGAGGGAGAGTAAAAGGTGTGTTACACTTTGTAGTTAAGCATTTTGAATGAACAATTACTCCATGATTTCTGTAACTTAATATTTTAGTGTCAGCTTTACCGACATTTTACATAGAGTGGCTTGAGTTAATTCTCATCAAAATTGAATTCCTATGACAGAAGTTCAATATTTTCAGTTAATAAAAGGTAACAGAACATAGGAGTTACAATATAAAACTCCTTAACTACCTCTAAAGGATTGGCCACCTTCAAGGCACATCTGACACTAATACAATTCCTCACGTAATTCCACTTAGTCTCCATGCAGCATGTTTTAAAGGAAATAAAAAGATCTCATTTTCAACATCCCTATTAACATAAAATTCTGTGATTAAAAAGCGGACTTCTGCATGTTACACATTTTTCTTTCCCTCACACTATGTCCCTGGTAAAGCTGAAGTGGTTAGATACAAATTTCTAAGCATAAAATTACAATGAGTACAATGGATGAATGAACCAACATGTACCTTTCTCATTGGGGGCGTTCCATTCTTAATTTTCAAAAGCAGCTTCATGATCTTCCTCTCCTTCTGCTCTTCAGGGCTCAGTGTGGATTCATCCACATCCACCTACGAGTCAGGAGAAAACAATGTGAAGATGGGCAGAGACACTAAGGTTTACAATTCCTAAACACAAAGCGATCATTTTATTTCTATTATCACTCACCAAAAGTTTATCAAAGTACTGAATATCATCAGGTTTTAAAAACGGAAGGTTCCCTGATGGCTGGTCATTAACACTCTTCATAGTCCTATCTTCAGTCTGCATATGGAAGCCAGTCATGCCACCCAAGGGGGTTGGAGTCGCAGTAAGCTTTCGAGCTGGAGTTCGAATAGGAACATAACCAGCTGGAGGAGGAAGTACCTATACAGTTAAAAGATAGTTTAGGATTTTCTTGACTTTATAAACAAAGGAATAACATAATGAATATTTGCACTTAAAATATTTTACAGTTTATTAACTAGGAAGGTTTCTGCTTGGAGACAAATTACCATTGATCCTATTTCTCTATCTTGAGTATAAGTTTAAAATATGTATGACAAATATCTCTATTTCTCATTTGCTAATTAAAATTTAAGTATATTAAGGAGTGTGCAAGAATGAGATACATGAAGGCTTATAAATTTTTGATCACTTCAAACATTAATCTACATAAACACGTTGGTTGGTGAGTCAACATGTCATATAAATGGAAATTAGCTCACAAAAGTGCACATACTGTATAAAAAGTTGTATTTCAATAAAATAAAATTAATTCGCGTAAATCTTGGCACGAAAAAGCAAATTTTAACATTTAAGTAACTCTACAAAAATGAGTTAAATGCATAAAAACTAAAACCAAAGTGTTTATCAAAGCCCTGCAAAATACACACCATTTGATTAAGCCAAAGAAAATTTACTGAAGATTCACTAAGGAGGGTTATTCCTGCTATTGACTAAAATTAAGAAAATCAGGGCCAGCCAAGAGGCGTTGTTGGTTAAGAGCTGGCTTGGGATGCCAGCTCTGAGCAGCAGAGCCCCCGTTCAGATCCCACATGAGGGCCAGTGACACTGCCCTCTACAGCTAAGATGTTGAACAACAGCTCAACCTGGAGCTGGGCTGCCATGAGTCACTGGTGACAGCGGAGGCTGCAGACCCTGCTGCAGTGGGCTGCCATAAGCCAGTGTGTGTGGCCAGCAGCCAGTGTTGAGCAGCCGTCCAGGGGCCAGCGACAGATCTGCCTCACCCAGGAAGAGCACAATGATAATACCAACATGGGCCAGTGAAGCAACGTCCTCCAGAACTAGACTGAAGAACAAAAAAGGACAGCAACCTGTCTGTTCTCCTTCCCCGATTCCCCAGTGCTGTTCCCCTCCACCAATTCCCCAATAAAATCTGTATTTTATTTGTGTGTGTGTGTGTGTGTGTGTGTGTGTGTGTGTGTGTAATAAAATTCACATCCTAAAAGCCATGACATTTATACTCCATGTTATTACCTTATATCCTTCTGGGAACATAGCATCTAATTCTTCATCAGAAAGTGGTCGATTTCTTTCGTCAATTTCTCTCTCCCACCGCCAAGCCTGAAGCTGTTCAGGAGTCATACTCATTATGTGACCTACCGAAAAAGCAATTTCTGTAACAATCTATAGCACAAAACTTCATCATTGCAAAGGTCCTTAAGATCAATTCTAAAATAAATTGCTTTTATATTATAAACTCAAACCAAGACTTTATATCCTGTTATTCTTGCTAAAAATAGGCATTAATAGCACAAAGAAAAAACTTAAAACATTTTTGGGGAAAAAAAGTGATTTCCAGTGAGTTTCTACCTGGAGTAGGGGTAGCCATGTTCATGGCTGGTGTGCCAATTGGTGTTTTTCCAGGCGTCAGAACAGGAGTGCTTCCACCCATCTGACTAGCTGGTGTTTCATCCCATCGCGACTTTCTTTTACTGGCTCCAGGAGTAGGCGTTTCACCAATTGAATCTCCACCTCGATCTGTTCGAGGAGTCTCAGCCCATCCACTTCCATGCCCAGGAGTATCTTTAAAGAAAAAATAGTGAATAAGCCTAAAATTTTAACCACTGTCAAAAAATTACTTTTTATTCACAGTTAACACTGTTTATCTAACTGATCAAGTTCAAAAACAGGATATTCCTAAAATGGAGACTCATTTTTAGTGTAATGTTTCATATTATTCCTTTCCTTCACTAGGTTTCATTTCTTTACTGATTACAGAAACAATACACTGAGGAATAGGAAAACAAGTAAGCATAATTCGTTTGCAAGCATAATTCATTCCGGAAACAAAATGCCTGCACTCATATTGCAAGACATCGCTTGTTTACCATGTTAAAATGTATTAAAAATGTTTGCTCATCTTGCAAAATACTCGCAAACCACGTTACTCGCAATCCAAGGTTTTACTGTATTTTTTTAACCAACCATAATATCACAACCCAGAGACTTTATGTATACTGAGCCACTTTTCATTTCTCCATACAGTTGAGATTACTCTGCATGTACAATTCTATACTGCTTCTTTCATCTATTACATGTTAAGCACTGTCCCATTATCATTAAAAACTCTTCATAAAATTTAAACACAGATGTACTATTAAATCTTAACTTGCCACAAATAATCTCATAAACATTTAATGAAATACAGCTTAAATGCTTTATACACAAAAAAAAAGACATTTAGGCAAATTTATACAGAGTAGATAGGTTATCAGGGGCTGACAGGAGGAGAAAATGAGGAATTATTGTTTGATGGGCACAGAGTTTGTTTGGGGTGATAAAGTTCCAGAAATGAATAGTGACGATGGCTGCACAACACTGAATGTACTTAATGCCACTGAATTGTACACTTAAAATAGTTAAAATGGTCAATTTTATTGTTATGTATATTTTACCTTAATTAAAAATACAACAGGTTATGTCCTACTAACTTTACTTTTCCTAATGTTTTTCCTACCTCTTAAACTTCCTCAAGAAGGGAAAAGAATTAGGCATATGATGTGATCAGTTCTTTATCTGTCCCTAAAGCAGCTGGTTATCTGCCTGTCTAGCCAGGACTAGAGAGAACAGATTTGGGCCCATAAATATACCACTCATCAAGTCAACATTTCACCAAACACACACCCAAACTCCACTAGTAGTACCTCTTTCAGTTTTGGGGGTCTCGTCCCATCTGTTTTTACGAGCACTAGAGGTTGCGCCTCCATGACCTGGCGTTGCGTGGCCTGGGGTATCGCCTCGCCCAGGAGTAGCAGCTCCCGCTGGTGTGTGACTAGGTGTAGGATCCCATATCTTTGAGCCTGGGGTTGCTCCAGGAGTCTCACTTCCCTTTGCACGACCTGGTGTCTCATCCCATCTTAAAGAAGGGGTATGTCCAGGGGTCTTAACAAGAGAAAAATAAATAAATAATTTCACACACCTATATACCCACATAAAATAACTATAAAATTTCTATTTAAAAAATTTTTAAATGAATGCTTTAGTATACCTGAAACTAATAAAATATTGTCAGCTGTAATTTTAAAAAACATCGTCATGGGGATGTAAAGTACAGCATAGGAAATATAGTCAATAATACTGTAATAGTTATGCACAGTCTCAGGTGGGTAATAGACTTATTGGGGTTATCACTTTGAGGAAATAAATGTTTAATCACTATGTTGTTTTATACATCTGAAACTAATAAAAAAGGTTTTAGTTCTATTCTCTATAATTACGGTTAGAGTAGATTATCCTCCTGTTTAAAAGATACCCACACTCCAGCAAATATGTTTATGACTAAAAACAATTTCAAGTTTTAATTTGGAGCAGTGAAAAAAGCCCTCGTTTAAAAAACAATGCATTCTGAGTATGAGTCTTGGCCCATTAATAGCGCCACGACTTTGGAAAAGTCACTAAGATTTCTCTGTTTAGATCTGCAATCAAAGAATTTCAATTTTAGTTATATCAGTACTTTCAAACTGGTGCTTAGAGGCATATACCATTGATTTCTCACTAAGAAATACTATTTTTATGTTTTCATTCAATTCTGTACTTAATTAATATAAGCCTGTTTTGGACCACTTGGGTAATTTTAACTAGATACTGCCACATGACTTTAATCTTTGAAGTGAGTTTATATTTACACTCACATTTGTAGTATTACTACGATGGTGGCAAGATTACTGAAAAAAGATTAGAAGTGGATTTAAGTAATCTAAGGTTTCATGGCAGTTTGAATAGACTAAGTAGTAGATAATATATGGCATATCAGATAGCACCTGATAGTAAAGAACCTGTACAATACAGACAATATTGTATCAAAACAGGTGATTTTGAGTAAGCAAAACAAAATTTGTATTCCAATAATGACTCATAAGTATTCTATAGATTTTGTAGAATACTTTTATGTATGTATTTGTTTTGAAGTTGGGTGCTCTATCCAACACAAGAGTTCTATCTAGCTTTATGTTTGCAAACTTTCATAAATACTGTAACAAATTTAAGACTCAATATTTTTTCCTTTAAAAAGATTCTATGTATTACTCAGAGTTGAGAAATTCTTAATTGAGTAAAAGCACATAAATTGTTCAAAAATCTCCATTTTTGTTGGCACCCTGATCTTGGACTTTGGGCCTCCAGAACTGTGAGGAAATAAATGTCTGTTGTTGAAGCCACCAAATCTGTAATACCTTGTTGTGATGAGAGCAGACTAATACACTCCATTTGAGAGAAAAGTTTTAAATTGTAATAAAACATAAAATGAAATCACCTCTGCTTGATCCCAGCTTGACAGTTTCTTGGGAGTGGCACCAGGAGTCTGATCAGCTGTTTGATCCCAACGCCGTTTTCGTTTTGAGGGAGGCTGGGACGATGCTGCGCCATTGACGACTTTTAATTCTCCAGCTTTAGCTTTTTCTGCTAGTTGTTGCCTAATTTCTCTCTGAAAATATTTGAATAAGCAGTGAATATCTTTAAAATGTTTTCAATATATTTTTATATCATTAGTACAGTCATTTCTATTTAATGTCATTTTATTCTTCACTCATTCTCCTTTCTATGCTATTAGTACAGAATATGTAATACAAAGCACCATACTTTATATAACTAGTGAAATAAAATCTTCAGTGATGGAGAACCAAAATGCTTCCATTGAAAAACAGTGTTAAACTCATAAGTAGCAATTCAGACTGTTAACACGATAAAAAGTGGTAAAAAGTAGAAAATTTTAACTGTGTAAATATTATATATATGTCCTAACAAATGCACCTTTAATTTACCGTGATTTTCAAATGGAGTCCCACCCATTTAATCCATACAATACATACATCGCCCTATTTAATCCACACAATATAATATTATAAATATGAAGTATTCATAATAAAGTTATGAAAGCTAACTATTAAAACAAAATGAAGCGATTTCTGTACACCAGTAGGAATTCTTCAGAATTCTCCATCCATAGCCAAACTGAATCTTATGGGAGAATTACAGGTTTTTCATGGAATGATTTAACTATTTGGCTTTTCCGCACACACTAGCTTCAGATACACACTATCAATCCTCCCCGCCCCACAGATATATTCGCTAGAAGTTACACATGTATATATATGGCCAAGGGGCCAGGGACTATTAAAGGATATAGAAATATGAAAAGTTTAATTTGGGAGGTGGTAGAATTTTGGGTAAGGGTCTTTCTCAACTTAATTTTTATTAATACTACTAAAATATTACCTGTGTAGCAAATAAAAAATAAAAAAGTCTCTCAAATCTCAACTTACTTTATAATTTTTCACAACCATTAAAATAAAAAGCAGGTACATACCTCCTCTTTAGTCAAATGCTGTTCTCGCATTACATCCATGTAAGTCCTAGCATTCATTTTAGGATCAGGGGTCTTCCCTCCTGCAGAAAAGAACAGCAACAGGACAAGAGTACAATAAATAAAAGATAATTAGGTTCAACTGATTTATCTGCCCTGCTCTAATATTATGTTATTCCATAATCATTTAAATTTTTTTGGTGGAAAACTTTAATAATTATACATCTTACTTTTTATTGAGTTTGCTGATCAATTTAACCTGTTTGAACACAAACATATCTACAGCAGTTTAAAACAAATATTTTAATGCATATAAAAACAAAATGACAGCACAGTTTAGTCTTCAGAAGTGATGGGTTCCTGGGTTGCTAATCCGGAATACGTACACTTTCTTGCCTTTGTCTCCATCAGCAGTTCTGACTTCAAGCAGCAGAATAGAAGCCTAGAAAATTATCTCTTTACCATTAGTAACACTTTGGAAAGATATTTATATTCAAAACATTACCTGTTGCAAGCTGTTAAAATCCTGACTACAAATAACTATGGCTAGGTAAGTTCTTCATACATAACTTCTTTCAATGTTCTAAAACAGTTATAGTTTAGAAAATCTGGTTTTTAAAAATATACCTATAATTTTATTCTGACGTCATGTTACTAAAAAGGGCTTCATGTTTTTTTTAAGTTTGTTGACCCAGAAACATATTTTTTGTTTTCTTAGAAAGTATAAATTACAACTGAAAACATATTACTTGAATATATTACTTCTATCCATTATTATGATGCACACAGAAGAAAAGTGGTTGTACAAAGAGATGTTGTTAGTCTCTTGGTTCAAGTTTCAATATTTGCTTTTCAAACTTCAAAATATCTTAAAGAAGCCCAAATTGTATATAAACAGATTCACAGAGGCACACTATGTTTTAGAAATGTGACAATTAGCTATACAGTAGTATAGCATCACAATTTAGGAAAATATAATAAAGTTCTAAGACATTTCCTATGCTGAAGTTCATGCCCAATTGGTAGTGTCATTCTTTCTGACACTAGCTCTGATAAGACTTCCTTTGGAATACTTTTTCACCATAATCTAGAGAGGATGTGTTGAACTGCACCCTTAAGAATGCAGACAGGACTGGCATATAGCAGTACTGCTGTAGGAAAGAAATTAAGGACAGTTAGTATGGGCCTGTGAATTCTGACATACATGTTTAAATCAATTACAATTATGCAAGTAAAAAAAGAATATCCCTACTAATTCATGCAGGCTGAAAATCTAATTTATAAACCTGCAGCAGAATCTCATTTTAAGAAACAGGCACCTAATTTTGATTTTGAAACTCACTCACCTGAGGAAAGCTTCCATCAGGCTCACTATGCCCCTTGTGCTGACCTGCACACTAAAATTAGCAAAACAGACTCCAACTATTAAAAATATCAAAGTCTTTGTATATATACTTTTAACTTTAAGTATGCTTAAAGCAAAGTAGGTGCATTTACTAAACTATATTTAGAGCAATATGGGGGAGCTCTAACGTGAGAAACAGTTTCTCAAAAGTAACAATCCTAAAATCTAGGATTTGGAACGAAAACTTTCAATAATATGAAAGTATTTGGAGCAGAAAAACACATTTGTTCAAAGTATAGAAAGCATACCCAAAACAAAAGTAAAAGAAAAACCTTTAACCCTTTGCGTTTCTATGGCATTGGCTCATTATTTTCTTGTCCTTCTACCTGGAAAGAAAACTTGCATTATAAAGATGAAGAATATGGCATCTGTGACTTCAACCAAATCTATACACATCTATAATAAGGGGGGTTTTAAAAAAGAAAAGCAAATGCATAAGCATGCCAAAAAAAAACAAAGGGCTAAAGACAACTTAATACAAATAAATTTGTGAATACTTATAGAAAAGTGGGAAAGAATTACCATCTGCAAAAGGATCAAGACGCTCTGGAGAAATTATCATGGTCCGCCTGTGCTTTTTGTATTCATCTTCCCGGTCTGCAATTTTTGGAGGTCGGTGCTCAGCAAACGGATCATACTGAAAAGAAGTATGTCTCATTTAATATCTACTTATTAAATAACCAAACAAAATACTGTTAAAAAATCAGAACATAATAAAACATGCAAAAAATGTTTAATAAATGCCTATTAATAAAAGAAATATTCTGTATCATTTTAGGAATGTTAACATGAAAAATAAGGAATATGGAAATGTGACAACATGCATGTTCAGTTCCTCATAAAATCATTACCTTTATAAAATTAAGTATTATCTTTAATTCTCTCAAATCAACTCTCTTCAAAACATTCTAATAACTTGATTCCTAAAATTTGTGGGCTTCCCTAGGAATTGAGACATTCAGTTTTCTTTAACTAAATAAACCCTGGTTTTAACAAAAAAATAAAATAAAATAAAATAAAAATTAAAAAGTCACCTGTTCTGTTGACTGTGGTATATCATTAAGCAATGCCACAGGGGCATGATATCCTGGCTTCTTCTGACCAAGCAAACTTGTAGATGATGAGTAGTCATCGTCATCCTGAAATGAAATGCCCCCAAAAGCCATAAACAAAATGTCACAACTTAAAAATTAGAATAAATATACCAAGACTCAACATGAAACCAAAAAACTTGCTAACAATTTGATATCTAAACCCTTGTTCATAAAACCTGTAAACACCTGGATTTCCTTTTCAACTCAAAAAAGCTACTGAAGAAATGAAACTTAGTTCTCTCTACTCTTTCAAGGAATGCTTTCCATGGAAATCAATTAAAATAAAGTAGGTATGAACTAGAAAAACTTGAGCATTTTCTCACAGAAGGCATAAAATTTGTTTTACAAATTTAGAAACTACAAACAGCTTATTTAGAACTCTCCAGTTTCCTTGTTTTATCTTGTTTTTTTAACATGACTTAACCAGAGAAACAAGTAAAATGTAATTAATTTTAAATGTATTTGTCTTCCTAGTAGGAACAGGAAATGTTATAGTTGCTTTAATTGTGTAAAAAGTGCAACAGTAGATAACAAGATCTTAACACCTCATTTATTTCATTTAAAAATAAAACGGTAATTTCCCCCTCAGCTTCTAGAACACAAAGCCGTCACTGTCTCTTACCAGTAAAGTATGATTGGCGTCTAGAATTTTTTACTTTGGGACTTCTCAATTTCCTTTTTTAAAAAATCGTCAATATTAAAATGTGGCTTGAATATCATAAAAATAAGTCTGATAATCAATCTACATAAAATGTTACTGAATTACACAAACACAGAGAACTATTTCACCAAAATATAAGCTATATGGAATATGTAGAAACACTTTGGGGTATGCACTTCAAAATGAGAGGTAGTCACCACACAGTAACTGAAACAGGCATGAAAAGTCCAATAATATTAAGATTGGGAGGCAAGGGGGATCAGGACCAAACACAAGTCAGAATCAAGTCACAAGGACAGGTGGCTATTTACTATGCAGTCACTTCTCACATGGGCTACACTACATAGAGCTAAGGATGTAACAACAGGGATTTATTTTACAATGGTTAATGATTTGCAGGTGCTTTGCTGTATAAACAAAGTACTTTTAACATAAAGATTCAGAACTGAGCACTTCCAGAAGTTTCTGAACCTTAGAGAGGAAGGGCACTTTCAAAAATTTTATCCTCCAAAAAAATCCCCCAAATCCCAAAATGTCTCCCCAGATTAAACCAGATGACACAAACAGAAAATTCCTTTATATTTTCTTGCTCCCCATCAAAAAAATATTTGACTCTTGTATGCTTTGTGACTTACATCTTCAAGTTCAGTTGCAGCAATTGATGTCACATATCCAGCAAATCTGCTGTCACTTCCACCATAAATTTCCTGATCATAATAGCCTGTAGAATCAAGGCCCACTCCTTGAGCTTCATCAAGAGCTGCCTTCTTGCCTTGAATTTCTCGAATCTGTGCTTCAATATCTGTAAGAAAGTTAACAGGCTTTCTTAATTTCATTTTCCAACTAGGTATTATCAAAGTACTCTTCTAAAAACAGAAACTTAAAAATAATTATACCACACAAGGAGTTAGAGCTGTGTGGTATACTGATTTTTAATAGATTTAATATATCTTCTCCACCTTAACAGACAATACTCATGTACAGAAGAGATGCTTACTATTTCAATTACAAATTACTCTTACCTTAAGAATGAGTTACCAAAGTTTAAATTATGTTGAAGTCTAAACCATTCCCCAGCTGAAAAAATAATTCTGTTGATGTTGATTAGGAACCAAGAACACCACTCAAGATAACTTAAACTTAACACTACCAGAAATGTAAAAACAATAATACTATGGAGAGTGTTCTCAAACTTGAATGTGCAACAAATCATCTACAGATTTTGTTAAAATGCAGTAGGCCTAGATCAAACTCAAGTTTCGGCATTCCTAACAAGCCCTCGGGTGATGTCCTATACAGCTAGGACTACATTCTGAATAGTAAAACAATAAAGAATAAAGTCTAAGTTCTTTAACATGGAATTCAGAGCTCTACACAATTTGGCTGCCACCACCAGAACACTTATCAGTTTTATGATGAAGAGTCTCAGCTCTGCAATCAAAATGTCTGCCTTCAAAGAAAGGCTCTTTCTCTACTAATTAATACGTTATTTAAACTTGTGTGTCTCAGTTTCCTACAACATAAAAGTTTTTTTTTTAAAGGATTAAATCACCGAAGCACCATGTTGTATGCAAAGGTTTGATATTTAGAAGGTGCACATTTGATGAAGCATCAACTCTTCTCAACGGCTTCCCAAACTTCCCAATTTTGAATTTTGAATTTTTTCAAGACTAGAAAAAATTAAAACAGTACAGTGAGCCCCCACATACTCATCTATACTCATCAATCATCTATGTATATAACAGAGAAAGCAAATATGTGTGTGTACATATAGCTTTCCTAAACCATTTAAAACTCCCAATATTTTTGCTTTTACTTCCAGATTTAGGATATTCTCCTACATAACCACAACAGTATTAACATGCTCAAGAAATTAAACCTTAATGTTATCATCTAATATATAATCTACCTTCAAATCTCCCCAATTGTACTAGTAACATCCTTCCTAGATGTTATGTTCTTTTTTGATCCATGATCCAAATAAAAAACCAGACATTGCATTTAGTTGTCCTCTCTTGTTTCCTTCAAATACAGACTAGTCTTCCACCTTTTTTTATAGTCTTTCCAGACACCAGGTAACTTTAAACGATAAACTAATATTTCATTTTAATAATATGAATAATACAAAGGCATGGGAAGAGTTTCTGTAGCCTAACAAATAGATGTTTCAATTCTTTCCAGCTCATTACTTTCAACTGAATTAAGCCCTTTGATATCAAGCACTTTAAAAAAGCTCATTTACTAGTTTAAAAGGACTCAAAAAGCAATAGATTTCAAGCACATAATGCAAATGCCCAACCCCCACAGCCAGCTAAGGGAGAAAACCTGTAGTTCAAGGTGGGCGTGGTTTAAAGCAGAAAATCAGCTGGGCCACATTTCCCTGTTAAGAGGGAGAGCAAGTCTCACAAACGCAAAATCATGGAATAGGATTACTACTGAACTAGCAGTCTCAGTTTTTAACCAGATCTCAAAATTCTTATAGCATGTCATAGAGCCACCATTTCCAAAGTTAATTTTTCCTGCATCTCTCCCCTCAATGAACTGTTAACGGCAGCCAGGGGCCTCCACCATGATTAATCACAAACACAAATGTCTTCATTTGAGCTGGATGGTTCATTTTACTATTCTACTTTTTCTGTTTGAAATATGTATTTTATTTTTAACTTTTAAATCCATATTTGCTACCCTCATGCACACTTTTTCTCCTAGAAGAAACCTCTCAGTGGTTAGCAAGATTGGCTAAAGGGTTAAGTAGAGATTTACTTTTCTTTTTTTTTCCTTTCTGAACATTCCCATTTCTGAAAAGTTGGAGGTTTTTTTAACCCTCACATCAGGCGCAACTGATCTCACAGATACATTGCACACAAATTTTCAAATATCTAATAGTTAATTTAAGTATTGTGACTCATCACTTCCGTATCTTCCCCCTTTACCGTAACCTATCGCCAGTTGTATTTGTGACTTAGTAAAGACGTATTTCATAGAGGCATCTTTGTGTGCAATGAATCTGTGAGATCAGTTGCACCCGATGGAGGGTTAAAACCACAGGATGCATGTATCACTTTTTAAGTAAACAGGTTCTCTTAAAGGACCATAAATGCTACTGCCATCAGGATCCAGGCAGGAAACACAAATGGGTGAATGAAGCCAGCCAAAGAGCCTGCAATCTCCTTTCTACAGGATCACTGTAGTGTACTAACCACTTACGTTGAAATCACTTGGGTTACCCGTTACAAGAACAGACCCCTAGGCCTCAGATACACTGAGTCAGACCCTCCAATTTAAAAGCAGGTTTCCACATTAACGCCCCGGGAAACTCGTAGTACTTGGCCCTTCAATCCCTCCAATGCCAGCCCCAGCCCGCCCTTACCAAAATTGCCAATTTAGCACATCACTTTATACTTTTTTCTAGCTCATAAACAAATAAAAAACAGAAAAGGGGTATTGATTCACAAAAATTACATATTATACATTATCATTGTGCAGCTTGCTCCCTCCCACTTAATCATCAGTTTATTTTCCTTCTAAAGAATTTTCCATTCTAAGTTTTCAGTAGCTACTCATTTGAATACATTTGTTCAAGAACTTTCACCTACTAAATTTTACCTACTGATTTTATGTGCTTACTGATTAGCAACAGTCTTCTAATTACAAAGATACACAAAATATTGAATTAGTGTTTTATAAAGTCTATGTATATCATGACTGG